TAATGTCAAGCTTCCTTTGTAATTTATCTCCGTAGCAACCAAGAAGGATTAATCTGTAATGAATTCAAAAGAGAGTAAAAATGTAGTGTCAAATATTCGCTGGGAATAGGGCAATCTCTGAGAAGCATTTCTGAATTCTGCTTGTGGCAACCAGGTGTGGGGTGGCCAGTTCTATAGCCAGCATCGCTGGGAAGCTAATTTAACAGAAGACTCATCTGAGTTGTTGTCTTTAGTTCTGTCATCTAAGAACTAAACCTGCAGATAAATGTTTTAAATAGTGTTTAAATCAAAGTCTATGCTGTGCTGCTGGCTTGGGCTAAACTGTGGCAATAACATGTTTTCCTCCCATGCCAGCATATTCTCTACTGCATTGTTGATAGTGAGTGCAAATCACGAGATGTGCTTCAGAGTTACTTTGACCTTCTGGGAGAACTGATGAAGTTCAATATTGATGCATTCAAGAGGTTCAACAAGTACATCAACACAGATGAGAAGGTAAATATTTGTAAAAGCTGTCCCCAGTGGGTCAAGTGACATGCTCTTCTAACCAAACGTAGCACTAAAATTTAGGTTCATTTGATGATTTTTGGTGTGATCATTGAGCTCGGTGTGCAGTAAACACTACGGAGTGAGCTGCCAAAGTCTTCACAAGCCTGTGTGGTGCTGCATACACTCATGTTTTCAGAAGTGCTCCCAGCTGTTCGAGTTGGCAAACGCTGAGCTGTTCAGAAGACATTGCCCTGTTACGTGATCAGGTCTAAGGTCAGGGATCAAAGATGGCAGAACATTTCCTGTGAAGTCACTGGGGTTTGGGTTAAGCTGATAGTTGTGGACATTGAGACAGGCTCCAAAAAATGTTTTACTGGAGCTTGCTGGGGGCAGTGTTCTTCATGGAAATGACTTAAAATATTCATTAATATTTGATACCGCAAAAAGGCATATCTTATGTTTGATCTTATTTAAGCTTGCAGACATTTTAAGAAGTCGTGGCTGATGTAATTACCTATAAAACATAGTTGCATATGTAGGTCAGGAATGGGCAGTTCTCTATGCAAAGTGTTTTCATGCTCTTGTGCACTTTGTGTATATAACGTCAACTGTTGGGCAGGTTTTGAATGACCTCATGCTCCTGCTTATGTTACTGTAATTCTTCTCTGGTTGCTGTTCGGTCTGGCAGACCTTGGAGAATAGAAGCAGAGGTGTATTAAAAGAAAGATGTATTTAATTTCAGGTTGTTTTCTGGTAAATGAGCTCACCTGTTCTAGAGTATCTGTCTTTACACTTTGTGTGTGCTTCCTATTTATTGATCTATAACTTTTTAAAATTCTCTTTCTGTATGAATCCCTCTCTGTCTGCTGTACAAAGTAAGTGTAGGAAAACACGGAGCTGGAGGAACTGGAGAGGCCAGCAGCCATGCTGTCTTACCTCCCTCTTTCAAAACAAAATGTATGAAATCTTGGTCTCGTTGAAGTGACACAGCTTTTCAAAAGAGATTTTAGTGGTACCAGGACTTTGTCATTTCTCTGTTCCATAGTGTTTTTAAGGTACTTGCTATAGGGATGCTGTGGTCAGCCCTGTGTCAGTATTGGCTTGGACTGGATGAGGCATGCCCAGGAGCATGTATCTCCTCTTATTCTTGTTAGAGATTACAAAAAGGCAGTGACCCTGAGTATTTTGGCATTCAGATGCTAACTCTGAAGGGAAGGGGAAGTTGTCCATGCTGTGAAGCCTTATGTTGGTGAAGTGTAGTTTTAGGTGCTTGTGCTCAGAACTCAAGGCGGTTTCTCCAGTAACCTTCAAGAACTGTACTGTTTCAGTGTTGAAAATCCGAAGAACACGTACTGTTGCCCTACTCGCCAAACCCTGTTCGTAGTAATTCCTACTTGGGTTCACTGACCTCTTCCCCCTGTGGCAGCAGAGTCATTGGCTCAGTTAACCTCTTGGCCATGTGCATCCGGAAGAGAGTACGAAATGCTGTTCTGTGAGACCTCATCCACGAGTGTTCATGTAGGATGAATTTTTTTGTTTCTTCTTCTAATGCAACACTAAAAAGTATTTCTCTTTAGTTCCAGATATTTTTAAATCAGATCAACAGTTCATTGGTTGACTCAAACATGCTTGTTCGCTGCATTACATTGTCCCTGGACCGATTTGAGAATCAGTCTGATGCTAAAGGTAAAGAATGCGAAATGAGGGGGTGGGGGTGGTGGCGTTTGGTAGTGACAATGGTTGTTTTAGGTCTAGGCTTTGAGAATTCTGGGTTTAGACAGAAAAATGCCACCTTGAAGGTTTATTGCTACAGCCCAAGCTCCAGTTCTTACCACCATATTGCTTGGACCAGTGTGAATTTTAAGCACCTGATGATTGTCTTTTTCCTCTTGCTGCAGTTGCAGAAGTCCTGTCAGAGTGCCGCCTGTTATCATATATGTCCCAGATGTCCATGAGGATGTCCTTTCTTTTCCGTCTCATTAATATTATTCATGTACAGACACTTACACAGGTAAAGAGCTGACAGTAACTTTGCCGTTACCTTGCTGATACTGTGTAGTGATGAAGTGGGCTGGGAGCCAGGAGGAACCCGGCTTCTCTTGAGGAGACCCTTGTTCCTTCTTGATACGTGTGGGAGCACCTCCTCTGCGTGCTTCCCATGAGCACGTTTTGGAAGGGCGTGTGTACAACCGATGTCTCTGTGTTGTGGGTTTTTTTTTTGTTTGACCTACCGTGTCATTTTTACTTTTAGGAAAATGTCAGTTGTTTGAACACAAGTTTAGTTATCCTAATGCTGGCCCGAAGGAAAGAAAAGCTACCTTTTTATCTGCGCACTTTGCAACAGATGGAATATACAGAAAAATACCCAGGCTTCATCCTGAACAATTTCCACAGTCTCCTGCGATTCTGGCAACAGCATTACCTCAACAAGGATAAAGACAGCACCTGCTTAGAAAATGTATGTGAGCCTCTTACCGTAGCAAGAATTAATCATCGCAATAGCTGTCTCCTAGTCACCTAGCAAAAATGGGAAGTGAGAGGTTGCAAAGGGAAAGAAGGGAACAAGTTTTGCCTCCCAATGTAACTTTCGCTAGTGCTTTTCACACCCCCTTACCCAGCCAGGTCCCTTCTGCGAGCGGTCAGACTACTGCAAGGCAGGTGCTGGGTTTCCCTGCAAACGAGACCTCAGGTCTTGGCTCTGGCACACGGAAGTGAGACTTGCCAATGCTGAGTGGGTTGGAGAGGCAGGGATGTGGAGGAAGGACAGAACCCAGCTCCCAGACTAGTTAGCACCTTAACCAGGCTGTCCCCTCTCTTCTGGTGTGGCAAACGGTGCAGGAGAAGTATCTGGTGTAGCTGCCAGAAGACAAGGCAGCTGCCCTGTGGAAAGCAGCCTGCAAGTTTCCACTCCAGAGCTGGTCTGTCTTGGGCACTGAGAAGAGGAAGAGTTGACCTGGGATGAGAAGGTGACTCCTTGTGTATGCCCTAGAAGGGTAAAGTGAGGTTGCGCAGTTTCTTCCTTTACTTTTCAGTGCTTTGGGTTGCAGCTTTAACAGATTTTTAATGTGTCCATGGAAAAGCCCCTCTTCTCTGGTATGCACATACGCTGCAGCACGCAGCCCCACGGCTGTGATGAGTGCAGGCGGTCTCCTACAGACGAGGTACCTGAAGAGGGGCAGTGTTAGGGCTTGGAAGTAGTTAAAATAAGGAGCTCTGGTTCCCCAGAAAGGAGAAGTGCAATGGAGGGACTCCACGTGGGAAGAAGCTGCAGCGAATGGTGCAGACTTGTAACACCTTTCTCTCAGCCTTATTTGATGCAGTACGCTTGGGTCAGTGCTGGGCTGAGCCAGTCGGACTGGGGAGCGGCAGGGTGACTGGGGCCTGCGACACCCAGGCACCGTGTCGCAGCGTTCAGGCCGTGGTTTGACACATCCACATGTCCACGGTCACACTGCTGAGACCAAAGCACTCTGCCGTTGCTGCATTTCAGGGTCGCGTTGTGCTGTGCACACATGCTGCAGTACTTGTTGTGTGTTGGGCCACTGGTGGGGTGGAAATAGTTGTCCAGTGTGTAAAGGCTTTGGGTAATAGATGATGTGGGGCTGCCAGAGAGGTCTTTTGGCCTTGAGAGCGATGCAGGAGGCTTGCGAGCAGGGAGGGCCCATTGTCCTTGTGTCTCCCCTTGGAGTGGGAGCTACAGCCAGCATTGGCTTGATCTGCAGCACCGTGGTGTCCCAGTTTGTGTTTGAACTGGAGGGCAAAGGAGAAGTTTGGGCTTGTGTGTGTGTGTACTGCTGACGGGCAGCCCTGCCTGCCAGCCCACGCAGGCTTGCTGGGGTGGTGGTCACCCTGGGCTGCTCGTAGCCGGGCTATAGTTGCCAGAAGGTTCTGGGAGCCCCTGCCCGCAGCTGCACAGCGGGAGGCTGCTTGTAGAAGGGGTAGTTGGTGCAGCATCCATCCCTCCTGCTCCACACCCCAGGGAGGGTGGGCTGGGTGGTGAATTAGAGGTGTGAAACTGCGTGGCTGGGGAAGTCGGGCTGAAGAGGAAGCGATTTTCAGTTCTCTCTGCTGAATGCCTTTGGGATGTGTCTTCTGCTGCATGTCGATGCCTGTGGAACAACTCTAACCAGCCTCTTCGTCTCTTCCCACAGAGCTCATGTATTAGTTTTACCTACTGGAAAGAGACTGTATCTATACTGCTCAGTCCAGACCGGACGTCCCCCTGTGCCATAGTTAGCTACATCGACGAGGCATATATGGACATTGACAGAGACTTTTCTGAGGAGTAATTCGTCACTCTGGCTTCTGATGGACAGCGCTTGGAGGGTACCTCGCAGCCCGTGGATTTTCAGGGATACGCTGTGTAGTGTGTGTGTGCGTGTGCGGCTTGGAACCGTGGAGCGTTACTGCATTGTCAAAACCCCAGCCCCCTCCCGGTGGTCCCCATCTCTGATCTCTAACGGATGAGACTTTGAAAGCTCTCTGGGCAACACATTCAGGGATGTATCTTCCAGTTGTTCTGGGATAAAAATATTCACCTGTAAAAACCAGCCTCTCTATTATTATTTTTTTTCCCCTCTCCCATTCCAACGCGGCTGGTGAGAGATATTTTTTTTTTTTGCTGACAGTTGAGGATACTCTGTATGTGCCAATTTAATTGTGGCTGTCTTTTCATGGCTACCAGAATTAGCGAGTCAAAAAGCACAGAAATTGCCCTCCAAATGTGAGGTCCAAGGAGCCCGTCTGACTGGGAAACCCAACACACCAGCCACGTGCAGAGCCACCACGAGGACTCCCTGCAGGTGTAACTCTTCTGTTGGGGTTTGGAATCAGGGGCTTAGGGTTGGTTAGAGTGTGAGCGTGCGTGTGCGTGCTTTCAATTCCTGAGCGCCCTAGCTCCAGTCACCTCTTTACCATCTACTTTTGGATCATTTGGTACTAAATCTGTCTGTTTGTGCGCTAGGAGAGAACCTCTGCTCCTGCTGTCTTTCCTGCAGATCCTTCCCACCCGAAGGCGTTTCACAGTGCTGCGGAGAACAGAGACATTTCAGGAGTGGTGGAATTGCAACGGGGGTTGGCTTTTTCACGGAGCACTAGCATTAAAATGTACTAATTTTTTAAACTTGCGGCTTGTCCCTTCTTGGGTAACTAATCTGGTTTTTAAAATCCTTTTCAGGACCATTGCCATTGATGCTAACCTGCTATGCCTCCAAGTCTTGTGTCAGTCTCTGCTTAATATCAACACACACATTAATCTTGAAGTGCAATATTTACTGGAGGTGTCAGTTTTTCCTGGATCTATTTTAATCAGAATGTGTTAAATGCTAGGAATAAGCACTCCTGGTTGAAAGTGACTTTGTAGGATATGTTGGGAAAGTGGGAATCGGGTTTTGGCAGTCTCGATTGCCAAACCTGCACATGCCCTGCCTGCTCACCAACGTTAATTGTGTTGCTCCAAGACAGTCAGATTCCCAGGAATGAAATACGGTCTGAAGTCCTGAGCCATTACATTTAAGTCAAAAAATAGGTGTCTTGCAGCTCCAGCTAAAAGAAACCAGTTTTCTTTGAAACACACATCTGACTTTTTTTTACATTTTCTTAACTTATTTGATGAGACAACTTGACTTCAGCTCTGTCCAGCCTCTGGAGAGGGTCTGGGGGTGAGGATGTCGCAGAGCTGTAGCATTTTGTCTCTAATCTTTGTCAGCAGAAAGAAACGCACTCTGAGGATCCCTGTTCTGGGGTCTGGATGAGTGGATGAGGCTTCCAGCCCTGGGTGCGGGGCTTGTTCTCTAAAAGTCACCCTTCTCCTCTTGCTTATCTCACACTTCGGTGTCCTGCTGTGGACTTGCAGTCAGTATTTTGCTTGCAGGGTGGTCAGAGCTGTGTGGTGATGAGCTTGTGCATAGACCTGGAGCTCCTGGGGTTCCTTGTGTCCCTCCCCGGGGGGCTGAATCCCCTGGGCAGGCTCTGCCCCGCTCCAGCGAGGTTGCCCCGGCGGCACCCCCTGTGTTGGGAAGCTCTGCCTACGGCAGCTGCAACTCTCTTCTTCATCAGGTCACCCCCACCCTGCCCCCTCCCTCCCCTGAGCTAATTTCTTTCTCATCTGTACTTTTTTGTTCTTGGGTATTTGTGGTTTTGGTGTATCTTTGCTTCTTCTTAACTGTAATAGATGTACACTTAAAATAAATGCTTCAAATTAAAAGGCTTTTAAGTTAAGGGATGCCTTTGCCATAGTCTAGTTAATTGGTGCATCCAAGGATTGCTGCTATAACCCTGCAGAGTCTCATTTACATCTCTGTATTTATGTAACGTACAGTTCGGGGCCAAGCTGCCCCTTCCCTGCGTGGGGCCGAGCCGAAATCACACCACCCTCTGCCTTCTGCCTCGTGCGTCCCTCCTCCCCAGCCTGGGACCAGCGGTAACTTTTGGGTCCTCGCCTGCTTAGAAGGCAGCTTGGCTTCGCTTTCGCCTTCGTGCTGAGGCGGGAGGCCGAGCTGGCCGGCTGCAGCCCAGGGCACGGCCAGGAGGAGCGCGCTGGTCTCCGGGGGAAAGGCAGGGGGATGAGCAGGCAGGGATGGCCGCAGGCAAATTTTAACTGGGGGCCACATCTGTCTGTGCCAGATGCCTCAAGAATCTCATTTTGAGAAGGGACCAGGCAGCTCTGTCCTTCATCCTTGTTTTATTCTTATTTAGGGAGAGCGCGGGGAAGAAGGGTGCTGCGCGGTGCCGGGGAGGGCTCGCTGGCGTCAGCGCAGGGGGCAGCGGGCTGCACACGGGGAGGGGGGGGGAGGCGGGACCCCTGTCACTAACAGATCCTTCTGGAAGTCTGCACTATCCCTATGGATTGCTGAGGTTCGTGCTGCCCGGATTAATGCCAATTTACTAACTGCAAATAAAACATATTAAATGGAAACTATTAAAGAAATCTATTTTAAAGAAATGAGTGGAGATGTCTTTCTTTGCAGTCCCTTTGCCAAAGCTGTAATGACCCTCCCTCTGCCCTGCGGGACCGAAGTGAGGATTTTTGATGTTCTCCCCAGGAGAAGTGGTTTCAGCAAGGTCTGCTCTGCCCTCCGCCCTCACCCCTCCCTCCAGTCCCCTGCAGCTGAGAGGCGGCTGAAGTGTTTTGGTGGGAAGGGATGAGGAAAGGGCTCTTTTCCCAAACCCCCTCTAAGGCTTGGAGCAAACCAGGGCAATAGCACAGGGAGAGGGGAGGGCCGTGCCTCTCTCCTGCCTGGAAAAGATGTCCCCAAAGACCCCAGCTTGCCCCCTGCATCTCCAGCAGCTGAGGCCAGGGATGTAGTTACCCTATGACGGACACAACAGAGCAAGTCCTGGCAGAGTTACGTTTATTCACGTGGTGCGAAGGTGGCAGTGACTGTTGCAGCCATTTGCCTTCAAGCCACAGCAGGCAGCTGGGGACAGGACAGGGCAGGCAGCCGGGCTCCTACTACTCGTGCTGGCAAAAAGAAAACAACCCAAAAGGCCTTTGGTGAGACCCTGGGCCTGGAGGCAGGGAGCACCCTGCCACCCTTCAGGTCCTGGCAGCAGTGGTGGGTGAGAGCAGTGCCACAGCAGCGCCGGGCAGAATGAGGCCGTGGGGTCTACAGCTGCTCCAGGGGTGGCAGGAGCCCCTGCCCTGCATCCCCCTCCCCACGGCTGGGGGAGCTTACCTTGGAGGTGATGACCTCCCTGGTGCGGGCGCGCAGCTTGTTGACCTGCGTTTCAGCGATGTCGGCACGTTCCTCGGCGTCATCCAGCTCGTGCTGTACCTTGCGGTACTTCACCAGGTTGGAGTTGGCCTGCTGCTCCTGCAGGGGGAGAGGCGGATGCGTGGGGCACAGCCGGGGACAGGCTGTGAGCTCCCTGTGCCAACTCATGGTCCTTTTCCATTACGGCCATCCCAGGAAGGGCAGCACTGTCCTCCACCCCCGGAGGAGCGCTGGATGGGGACAGGCACTTACCGCCTCCTCAAACTGGCGTTTGTAGCTCTTGACCTTGCTCTGCAGCTTGTCGATCAGGTCCTGCATCCGTGTCAGGTTCTTCCTGTCTTCCTCAGCCTGCAAGAGCCCCAGCCCCATTAGCAGAACCCCACCAGCCCCCCCCCAGCTCAGGCTCCGGCTGCCCCAATACCTTTATCACAAGTCCCAGCGGTGCCAGAGCCCTGAACACACTCAGAGCATCAACCCGCCCCACCAACCCTGCCACCAGCCCTGTGTCCCCTGGTCCCCCAGCACCTAGCTTAGGAGGTAGCAGCAAAAGGGCAAGACAGAGATGGAGAGCAGGTGATGGATGTTGGGACAGGGAGAAGCCCTGTCGGTCCCAGCACAGTGCCCAGAACAAGCCAGGGCAGGGCTGGGCTGGGGTGGAGTGTTGGATAACACAAGGAGCTGAGCACAGGGAGAGTCGGGCCAAGTCCTGCTGGGCTGGAGCTGTGCCCGGTGCTGCCGTACCTGGTAGCTCAGCTCCTTGATCCTCCGCTCGTACTTGCGAATGCCCTTCTGGGCTTCAGCCATCTTCTTCTGCTCCGTATCCAGCTCTCCCTCCAGCTCCCGCACCTGCAGGTGGGTAGAGGCCAGCTCAGCACTCCACTCCCTCGCGCCAGCACCAGCCCCGGCTGAGGTCAAATCACTGTCCCCACACCAGAGTAGCCACAGCCAAGGCTAAGCCACCTCAAGCAAAGGCACAGAGCTGGCCCCAGGCTTGCAGGTCCTCAGGGACTGCCCCTACTGCCCACGATCCCTCTGTGGCACAGCCTGGCCCCAGAGGGAGGGGGCAGTGCCAGTGCCCTGCAGAGCCCGGTGCCACAGGGGCTGGAGCAGTGCCAGGAGCCTGCTCCTGCGTGGCACAGCCGAGGATCTGCCCCTGCCACCTCACCCTGGCCTCCAGCTTCTGGATCTGCTTCTTGCCCCCCTTCAGAGCAATCTGTTCCGCTTCGTCCAGGCGCATCTGCAGGTCCTTGATGGTCTGCTCCATGTTCTTCTTCATCCGCTCCAGGTGTGCGCTCGTGTCCTGCTCCTTCTTCAGCTCCTCTGCCATCATGGCAGCCTGCAAGCCCAAGAGTACAGAGGCATCACCACGAGGCCTGGCAGCCCTGCCAGACACAAGGGCGCAGTGGAGAAGGTCTGAGAACCTCCCCTCTCCTCCCACCCACCAGCCCCACAGGGTGCTGGGCATCCTTGCCGAACCATACAGCACCATCCCCACCCAGATCTTACATCCGTGATAGCCTTCTTCGCCTTCTCCTCAGCGTTGCGGCACTCCTGCACCGCATCCTCCACCTCACTGCTCAGCTGTGAGATGTCGGTCTCCAGCTTCTTCTTTTGGTTGATCAGGCCCGTGTTCTGCAGACAGAGGAGAGTAGTGCCACAAGGACCAGTCATTCAGCGTGGCCACCAGACGGGCTCCTGCTGCTCCCGTGCCAGCAAAGACCCAGGATCCGGTGATCCCTCACCTGGGAGTGGAGCAGGTTGACCCTCTCGGTGGCCTCCAGCAGCTCCTGCTCCGCCAGCTTCCTGCTCCGCTCTGCCTGCTCCAGCGCTGCCCGCTGCTCCCCCACCTCCG